TTTGTTAAGCTTGTTAGGCATTTTGAATTATAGACAATATTACAGTATTTTAATTCAGCTTAATTCTTGATCCCAATATGTATTGTGCTTTTCTCTATTTTTTTTCTATTTTTTTTTGCATCTCCACACTTCTCTGCTTCAGCTGTTAAAACTTTTTCAGCCACATAACCACTTAAATTTGTACGTTTTTAACTAACTTTTTAACAATTTCTTACTTGTACATTTTGACTCAACGTTTCACCATTTCTATTTAGGCAAGACACCTGTATCCAACTGACTTATATACTCCCCTGACCTGATGCCTTCTAATTTTTTCAAACTTTTCACAATGTCCTATACCAACTAAACATTTTTCCAAGCAATTACAACCAATATCCCACCCACTTGTGCTCTTTTACAACTTGTTTCCTGTACAGTATTGTGTACATTCACCCCTCTACCTGCCCACCTTTATTGTTTACAGTCCAGCTCTAATATACATAACCATCTCAATCAAGGTTGTTCAACTGACATAACTCTTCTCCACACCTTTCATACCTTTTTGTGTTCGCTTAAGAAAATACATGTATACAAGCAAACATATACACATGTGAATAAATACACAGTGTATTATATGTATTTGTTGTGCATTTATGTATTATTAGTGTAGTATTATTAAATAGTGTATTTATGTATTATTTATTAGTGTATCTACAAGCATGTACACACAAGAATTCTCACACAAAGTGCAAGCATGCATAAGCACTCATGCATGTACACAATTACTACATGTATCCACACATGAAAAAACAAAAACATAAGAAGACACTGATTCAAGCAAAAATTACAAAGGTGTCAACAAATTGTATGAGGGTATTGGTCAATACCAAAATAATGGTACTGTACTGTATTGGGGCAAACAACTGTGTTTATGCAGGTGAGGAGGCTTTTGCATTTAGCTGCTTTGGTCTCCAACTTCATTCAGGTCTCGAAAACAACACTCAACAGGACACAAAAGTCTCGCTATCAAGACACTCAACTGTGCCAATTTTAAAGTAGGGTAGAGTTGACAAACTACTTGTTAAATTTTAATATATTAAAAGTTTAAGCACAGCCTAAAATATTTAAACATTTTAATGGAGACATACCTTTATATACACTGTATTTGTATATCTTTGGACACCATGATGGCCTGCTGTAAGCAATTATTTGTACTATCAACTGTGTCAGATGTATATGATGCATTAACAGTATTTGTAATTGAAAAACCATTGCATGCATTGTAGCTTAATTACTTTTTGAGTTGCTTCTAAAATTACATTAATAAGAGCTCCTATACTTATGCATTAGCAATTTTATCCTTGTGTCTGAGCTGCAAAACTTCACAATGTATAAGCACAGCCTTGTCAAGATCACCAAGACCAAAACATACGGAAAAAATATATAATTTAAATAATCCTCAAGTTTCATAATTTTGTATATACTCTCAGGGTATGATCTACTCTTCACAGCTGCTCCTAATCTTCTCACCATAATCTCACTCTAAATTGTGCTCACAGAATCATGTTAATAGACTCTCAAAATCAATAATGACCACAACCAATATTAAAGTTATCCCACAGCTGAAACTAATTTCCTCTTGTCATTTTACCATCACTTATTTGTATACTTTAGGATTAGCAACTATAAAGGCAAATATTTCTTTGGCATCAGGAGCCATCAGCAATTTTCATTCTATTTCAAGTAAATAACTTACTGCCACAACTTACAAAAGAATCAAGATCTGGATACATAAAAGATTAATTGTAGAGCTCAATATTTACAATGACAAATTGAAAAGTAATGTTGGTCGCATGCACTGGTTCTCAACAAACGGTTTCACAACAAAAATAAGAGACACTAACCCTTGGTTGAGCTTCAGGCTTACTCACATGGGATGCAGAGCTCACAACAGGGGGTGGCTGTTGGGGGGCAGGAGGGGCGGTACGAACAGGGAACCCTGAAGTGATGCTTCCGCTCTTACCACCCTAGGGAAAGTTTTTTGTATCACTATCAGTATAAGCAACTAAACAAAATCTACTTAAAATGCTGGAAATAAATCATTGTCAGAAACAAATTTCCTACTAAAACATTAAGAAACACTGAAGTTATTTTGATTACAAAAGGATAATCATGATGTGTATAGATAGATAGGTACCTTATCTCTTTTCAAGATGCATTCGTGTAATAAGAAAAAAGAAATAAAAATAGGGTGTCAAGAATAATGAAAAAAAATTTCCGAGCCAGACTCTGAAGCCAGAGCCCATATAGTCCACTGAGGCCTTATTGGCCTGGTCTCCCAGCACGACAAGCATCTTTGCATATGGTCAATGAAATTAGGAAATGAAAAGTGGCGACTCCAATTCAAACCAGCACCAAAAGATCAGCTCACTACAAGAGCAAGCAATACCCTGAACAATCCTTCAAAGCAATACTGTTTTTATTTACAATTTAAAATGAACCCTGCTGCACTTGGCAGCAAGCTCAGGAGACATCCGAGTGATTGGCTTGGAAAAAACGTTTTACTATGTTTAGTACACTATTTCTAAGTTGAAGCTCCTTGGATGCTCCTGAACTAGCTCCCAACGCTGAACAAAGCTATTAAAATACTGACAAGAAAAGGAGAGCGAACAAGAAGCAAACAAATGAGGCATTGCACCACAAGATAACTGTAAGAGTGAACGTGGAGAACCAAGCCTCAAGAAAGTGCAATGAGAAGCAGCAGCATTCAAACATGTTGATGTAAGTTTACAGTAACATCAGTCCAGCATTCCTCATTGGCATGGTAAAGACTGGAAACAAATCCCCAGCTCATGTTGAAGCATCAGTGAAGAGTGAAGGTGATGGAGCTGGATGATGCTATAGCACTGAATCCACATAATACCCAAAAGAGGAAACCTGAGAAGAAAGATTCTGGAAGAGTACTGAAGGCATGCAGCACGTGATCTCTGAACATGTGACAGGTTGCCAACTGGGAAAACTGGGACAGAGCCTGGAGCCAGAATACATGATGCACAGTCTAGATTAGTGATGGTGGACAAAATAGGGGTTGGCGGCTTCACCAACACTTGCATTAATGGGTGCTGCCAACTAGTGGTACCTGGGTTAACTTACTCCTAAAGGTAGTTAACAGAGCAATAGTTAACATTTCTTGTGTTTCCAATTCTTTGCAGGTGGTGTCAGGGCCATTGCTTACTCTTTTTTTTTTTTTTCTTATAGTGACCTGATACCCCCCCCTCAGTGGTGGCTTCAGTTAGACATACCACTTTCTCCTTTTCCTTAATTTCTCTGATAAGATCACTTGCAAAGATACAGTTCTTGTCATAATGAGGGACAAGGTCAAGACTCGGGGAAGTCAGAGTTCTGCATGGACCTTTTGGGCTCTGGCTCGGGGAGCATTCGAGAGGCTCAAGTCAACACACTAAAATTAATAGTAATATCTTACAGTAAATCACAAAAAGATGTCCATATGTTTTTAAACAAGGCTTTAAACACCATGATATGGAATACAGTAGAACCTCGAGTGATGAGTGCCTCAATTTATGAGCATTTTGAATAACAAGCGCGACGATTGCCGACAATTAGTCTTGATTGGCGAGTGCTCGTTTGATTAACAAGAAACCACATGGTGCATTCTCGCTGCTTCTCTCACATTCTTGGACACCTCCAACTCCACTACGGGCTCACCATAGCCCGTGCTACTTGAACCTTTTTGTTCCAGGTAGCAAATCTTTAACAACAACCTCCAAGGATGCAAAGAAATTATTTTTTTTTGTTTAACCCTTAGACCGCTAAGGGCCTTTTGGCCTTCAACACCCACAGGCGCACAAAAAAAAAAAAAATCCTAAATTTTTTTCGTCTAATAAAAGTGTTCATGTGTGTTCCCTGATCATGGGGGAAAAAAAATTCGTAGGTGGCATATTTTGGCCATAATTGGGTGAGGAAGTCTGGCAAAAAAGAGGCGTTGACAGAGCAGGCGCCAGATGAGATCTGCTCCGCCCGAGCTGTCAGGCGGGGGCTGCCACAAAGATATTCTTACCTAATTATTTCAATGTCTGATTTTTTCTTTTTTTTTTTTTGCAGTGATATTATTCAATAGTGTATTGTGATATATTTATATAATAAAATGTGTGAACCATCGCTGTACTCAAAATTATGGTGTGCATATCAGTGATTCAATTATTATGTTCATAAAACAATAAACAAATAGTTTTGCTGTTATTACACTATATACACAGGTTATATATAAGTATCTGTATGTTTTGTTCACCATAACGAACCATTAAGTTGGTATTGTGAGTCAAAAAGCAACAAAGAGTGGCTACCACACACCAGCCAGCCAGCCAGCCAGCCACTCACCACTACTCCTTCCCTCACCTCCTCACTCACCCACATACTCCTCCCAACATACTGTTTTTGCTTTTATTCACTATACACAGATGTTATATATAAATATCTACATGTTTTGTTCACCATAACTATACATCTAAGCTTGTATGGTGAGTTCAGGCAATAAGAGACATAGCTACACACAGAGTCAGCTGGTGGGTGTCGCCGTCACTGGTTCAAGGCCAGATGCACTAATATTTCTCCTCCAACAATGCTGTTTGTGGTGTTATTACACCATATACACACACACTTTATATACAAGTATTTACATGTTTTATTCACCATACCTGTACAAATAAGCTGGTATAGTGCCCAAAGACCATAGTGGTCACCAGTAAACAACATGTCAAGTCTTGCAGACAACACACCTCCCTCACCAAAATGGAAATTTTACAAATATTTTAATTTTGGACGGCATTGCTGTCCTTCCGCAAACTACGTGTATTGATTTTAGAACGGCAATACCGTTATCCAGACGCGATAATGTTAAAAGCAGCGAGTGGATTTCTGGAAAATATAAGTTTATTTTCCAGGAAATCCACCCACTGCTTTCAAAGAGCTACTACTGTGAATACTAACAACTACTGTGAATACTAAGCAGGTAAAATACCCACCCCTGGATGTGGTTGTTGCACTGGCAGTACCCCAGAATGGAGGGCCAAATGTGATCTCACATTTGGCTGGAAATACTTCTCTTGTCCTCCCTCCCCAGGTGGCATGAAACTACTTCCTCCAGGTTTGCCTTTGTGGTCCATCGCTTGGTGAAGAGTAGGCACATGTGTAGCTGTGATAAAAGCATGGCCTTAGGGAAGAAAACACATAAATGGAGGCATGAAAATAAAACACACATTCTTTTCAAAATATACGCCCACTTACTGTCACTCAGAAACTGCAAAATTAATACCAAATCTAGATAAAACTTGACTGACACATGAACATGAAGAATTTCAGTTTACCAATTGGCTGTGAATGCTTTTCTTAATTAAAGGCCTTTTAAAAAAATACTCTTATGCCATATATTTGTCTGCCAGAGAGAAGAGCTTGAAAACTGCTAAATCCCCCCCCCCCTCTTGTGGAAGAATAAGTGTGTGACCAATGAAGAACTGCCCTCTCCTCTATTCTGATTAGCTTGTGATATTGTGGGTTCAATTTGACAGTACACTGGGGGACTCCTATTAACTCATTAAACAATCAGTTTCATTACTGTTTTACAATTACACTTTAGTATTTATTTTGACTCGAGCTTCATTGTTTAATTAAACAAAGCATTGCTTTATTATTTCACATAATCACAATATGCACTATTGTACATTATTGTTATTAATCCATTTTCTACTTTCTTTGGGTTGAGAGGCATCATCCTGGAGATAAAAAGTTGACATATATATATAGGAAAGATTATATGAAAAAAGATACTGCTTGTTTCATTTATTATCTTGTTTAAATAAGACTTAAAGAAAAAACACAGTACAGTGTGTTTGCTGGTGAGATGGCACTTTATTCTATGATTACCTTGGTTTATAAACATCTTCAAGTTGTAACCAGTCATTACATATGAGTAATTTTACAGCATTTACATGGTAAAATAAAGCACTACAGTACCTCTTTTGAGGTTGTGCTTTATTGAGATGAGTGCACTACTAGAGCACTTGTATCAATACAGTACTGTACTACCTTTCTGTGAATAAATTTCTAAACAATACCATGATTCCGAACATGGTCATTATTACTCTTACTGTCATTTGGTTTTCTCTATGGAAATTCCTAATACTGTACTTGCGTAATGTTACATAAATAGTCCACTCTTCTTACACTTCAATTATCTCTGAAACTAGAGTTTCAACCTTGAGTGGCTTCTAAAATTCCAGTTTTTAATCGATTCTCACTATTTTGACATTATGTACTCAGCTGTAAGTTCTACAATCCCATCAGAATGGATTTTTCATAAACTTTATACATTTGGAGTTATAATTTTTTGGGGTCTAAATTTGCAGCATATTTCAAGTGCCTTATTGATGATTTTTTTTACAGTAAACTATACTAAAAACCTATATTCTAATTTGATGAAAATGAAGATCATATGCTATTCTGAGAGAATAATAACATTAAATGAGCAAGTGGTGATAGTTCATATTTTTTATTCTGAATTGAAAATCTGAAGATTTCAATATTCAATTTTAAAATTAGTTTTGATTCTCTTGTTTTTCAAGTTACATTGTGATCATTTAGACAAAGTTGGAGCATTAGCCTAGTTGATTATGCACAAAAAATTGGAAAGTGTTTGTGCAAGTTTTAAAAACTTATGTTAAATTAAGTTATGCCAAATCATATACTGTACTGTATGTATGTATTGTGTGGTTTAAGGGTTAAAAACAAATTATTTCAAGTATGAGAATGAATCAATAAAAATGGCAACAAACTTAAACGATAATGAAGTAATAATAAATCTTTAATAACAGTAAACCAAATTTGAACAAAATAAAACAGGATTAAATTCAAACACTGGACACTTACCTCGACCACTTTGCATATAAACGGGCTGGAGATGTTTGTCATCTCGAGAAGGAGGTTGTTGGGGTTGGGAAGAAGGAGGGGGATTGGTGTGGGTTGGTGCTGCAGGTGGGAGATAAGCCACAGCTTGGGAGGTGGTCTGGTACTGGCTGGAGCTGCCATGAGCTTGAGTAGACCCATGGTAGTAAGGAGCCTGACCTGCCACGTACACATTGCCTGCACTCCCCGCCTCTGTACACATGCGCGGATCACACAAATGGGTTTGTTAGCATGGCCAAAAAAACTTGGAAATCTGAAACAAATTTATATACTTACCTCTTTTATCTGCATGTGGAAACAACTAAAGGTTCTGCAGAGTCCTAAAGCATTTTATTTTAGTGATGGAACTTGAGTGTGAAGTTTTAAACTTTAAAGCACGAAAATTACAGCAAATGCAAAATAACAAAGAATTACATTACAATATGCTTTTGTGAATTGATATGAAGAAAAATTAATTAGTAATACTCAATAATTAAATACATCTTCCTTTTAATTATATTATGTCTTAAATTGTTTTTACCGAACATTCAGGTAGTCACCTTGCTGTTTTTTATATACAACAAGTCAGTATAATTAGTGCATCTGTAAAAAACATCTAATAAAATTCAACAATGTACATTTCTGCGTTGCAACACAGGCAATTTGAAATATTCAAAATTACATCCAAAAGTTGGAATATTTGTAATAGTATTAATCCTCTAACCTATAATTTTATAAAATGATTTTGTCATTTTGAATTTATTTTTAACTTTCCAATACACATTACTGAAATAAAACACTTACTGTTCATAAAGCTGTGAGGCGCAGTAAATACCAACACAACATGATGCAGACACATACACACACATGAATGCACGATACAATATCACTGATAAAAGCCAGGAAAATTTGTATATGACGAAGCTAACAAGAATGCTTATACATTGCAAATTCTAACCTCAAACTGAATTACAGAATATAACCCCTTGCTACAAGATCCCCTATCTCTCCTAGGCTATAATAATATATTAACTGAAGCACAAAGTCATGTTAACACATACAAAAGGCATGGATTTTGTTGAACAATGGAATGTATTTGAAATCTACAAAAGCCAAGTTTATACCCGGGATTAGTCTAGTTAGTTTGTAAGCTGGGAGTAGTGAGGTCAAAGGGGTTTGGGCATGGTATTTAATCAATACTGTCAATTACTTGCCTCTAAGCAATCAAATACCAAAATATTTTATTACTTGCTTCTTCAAATACTAACTTGCAATGCATTTTAAAACTGTTATACCAGTACAAATTTTTGTCATATTCCTATGTCTACCGCCATCTCAATTTCATTCCTTTGTCTCTTGAAACTTAATTTCAAGCAGTAAAATCGAATCATGAGCTTGCACTCTGTAACCACTTTGCTGCCATGAAACAGAGCTTCAACTTTTTAAAATCAACTCACAAGCATATCAAATTAACACAAAGAAACAAATGAACTTACTGGTTGTGGCAAGAGTCACAGGTACGCTGGGAGGAGCATGCCCTGGCAAATTCTTGAAGTTGTACGGGATCTGTTGATACCCTCCTTGAGGTGGCGGTGATGGTGTCCGTGACCTTTTGAGGGAGCCCTGGAACAAAATTAATGCAAGCTTATGTAACTTTTGAAAATTGAATTACCAACTGCAATAAGCAGAAAAATGCAATAAATTCAGTTTAACTCATTTTATACAAAAAAATGAATGCTATTTCAGAGGCCATGTTTAATCAGTGTTGGGGATAACAAATATTCCAAAACTTGAAAAGTAAAAATCTAAACGTAACTAAAAACAACACATTTGACCTATGCAACGACCATATTTTTAGATGAGGCAATTATTTGAATCAAAGAGATATGGCTAGATATCTGTATGAAGGAGTAGTAGTGCCTACCCTCATGTACAGCTGTGAGACGATGGTGTGGCAGGAGCATGAAAAATCAATAGTTAGAGCAGTAGAAATAAACAATCAGAAATGCACCTGTGGTGTAAGGAGGACTGAGTGAGGAATGAAACTATCATGGAAAGATGTGGGGCACAGAAGTCAGTAAGTGTTCAGACTGAGGAGTGTATCAAATTGGGTCATAATAAACAAATAACAGAGCAAAAGATAAGAGGAAGACCAAGGGTATGAATATATATATATACAGTACTGTTTGTTTATATTTGTATATATATATATATATATATATATGTGTGTATATATATATATATGTATATATATATATATATATATATATATATATATATATATATATATATATATATATATATATATATATATATATATATATATATATATATATATATATATATATATATATATATATATATATATATATATATATATATATATATATATATATATATATATATATATATATATATATATATATATATATATATATATATATATATATATATATATATATATATATATATATATGTCGTACCTAGTAGCCAGAACTCACTTCTCAGCCTACTATGCAAGGCCCGATTTGCCGAATAAGCCAAGTTTTCATGAATTAATATATTTTTCTAAATTTTTTCTTATGAAATGATAAAGCAACCCATTTCATTATGTAAGAGGTCAATTTTTTTTTATGGAGTTAAAATTAACGTAGACTATATGACCGAACCTAACCAACCCTACCTAACCTAACCTAACCTATATTTATAGGTTAGGTTAGGTTAGGTAGGGAAAAAGTTAGGTTAGGTTAGGTTAGGTAGGTAGGTAGTCGAAAAGCAATTAATTCATGAAAAAAAAATCGGGCCTTACATAGTAGTCAGAAGTGAGTAGGCTTAGGTACGACATATATATAAGATATATAAATATATATATATATATATATATTAATATATATATATATATATATATTATATATATATATATATATATATATATATAGTATATATAAGTATAGTATGTGGCTATATAGGTATGTGTGTATATATATATATATATATATATATATATATAATGAGACATTGTGAGCGACTGTGATGAAAGAATTAAGTGTCAATAGTGTACAAAAACCAGCGTTGATTGTAATGAATCCCCATTTTCTGGGTAAGCCCCGGAGGCTCCCTGGAGCTATTGGGCTAATATGCAATTCATTAGACCAGGGGCCAGATTCACAAAATCCGACAGTCACACAAGCACTTACGAACCTGTACATCTTTTCTCAATCTTCGGCGGCTGTGTTTAAATTATTAAACAGTAAATGAGCTCCGAAGCACCACAAGGGGGGAGCCCCATATCCCCCCCCCCCCGTGCCTGTGACCCAGCCATTCTAGTTCAGATGCTAAGTATCAAAACAAAGCAAAAATCACCAACCGGAGGGAGGGAGGGTACCAAGGAGCCTCTGAGGCTCACCCAGAAAATGGCGTTTCATTACAATCAGCGCAGGTTTTCTGAGGGAAACCCCTTCGGCTCCCTGGAGCTACATAAAAAAAATGCTGTATAAGGAAGAGAGGGACTTACCCGGGAGGCGGCCGCCACAAGCTCCTCAACTCAAAGGCGAAAACAACTGGCTGTAACCTGCGACCAAACCACACACGAATGCCCAGGAATAGGAATGTTGACTAAATAACGGGCAACCAGGACCCTCTTCGACCTCCTAAATCCCCTCCGCCCAAATATCAGCCCAAAACATATTGTCGAAGACGGCAACCAAAGCAGCAAACTTCATAACATCATGGCCACGAGGATGGAACGCAGGCTGGCTAGAATTAATAACCCTGCGGACGATCTGGGAGACCCGAGCCCTAGAACAGGGAACGAGGGGAAACTGGATCAACCCAAAGCGCATCCCTGTGCAACACCTTGACGTCCCAACCAGCAACAATGGCGTCACAAACGCACCAGGGAAGACAACCCTGACATACAGGTAGTAATCACAGGGCATTTTGAGAAGGCTGCCCTAGGTGCATGCAGCCCCAGTACACTTCAGGTACACCTGGCCACCACACCACGAACAGCAGAGGACACCACTAAAGCAAAACACTGCGTAGGAAATCAAGGCCAGAGATGACAACTGCCCTGGATTGCATTAGCCGACGAGCTGGAATGGCCGGGTTGCTGGCGCAGGGGGGCTGTATGGACGAGCGCCGCAGCAGTGGGGTGTGATGTTGCCTCTTTGCCTGTTTCCTTGGGACTGGAGGGAGTTCTGTCTCTTTTGGTTTTGGTTGCAATTTTCTTACCATGTGGGGTCTGTTTTATTATACCTACCTTTCTGGGTGCCTAACCCCAGTTGATGGCAGATAAGGAAAAACCCCAACCACAGGGGGGGGGGGGTGGTTCCAGGGCCATTGCTCCCAGTGCCTTTCTGAGGGTGCCATCCTCTGGCTCGTGGTCCCCAGTAAACTTAACTCCTATGACTAATGCCCTGGTCTAATGAATTGCATATTAGCCCGATAGCTCCAGGGAGACGAAGGGGCTCCCCTCAGAAAGTGGTAGGGAATGAAGCTAGGAAATATCACTATTCTGATAAAGTGAATAGTATTTGTCTGATGCCTTCAAAATGACAACTTATGAGAGCCCTTTATATCTAGTCATACTAAGTGTGAAGGTATTGCAATGTTTGTTTCATGTTTGAGATGATGCCCTTTCTATGTGAAGCTATATAGGATGTGTAGTAATTGCCCAAATGGAGTTACAGAATGAGAGCTATGTTTGCAGTGTCCCAGCTTGCCTAAAAATTTTATCACACTGAGTTTTGAAGCTTTCTGAAGGTTTTTGCATAGTATTTAATTTACTCCCTTCATTTACCACTTTGGCTGCAAATGAATTTGTGAATGCTTTGACATTTTTTCTTAATGTGAACTAATGAGCTTGTTTTCAATTTGTCAGAATTGTGTGCTTAATAATCATATTGCTGCCTCCTTATCAATTAGTTTTGGCATATTAAAAACCTTCAGTCTCTCCTCATAGTTCTTATTTATTTAGGTCTGGAAGCCATTTGGTAGCATGTCTTTGCATCTCTATTTTACTTACAGAATGTTTTTTTAATATATATGGGCCATACGAAAGCTGCACATTCTAAGCGAGGTCTCAAGTATGTCATAATCTTGTGAAATAACCAATTCAATTAACACCCTCTACAGTGCTCAGTTCCTATAGCTTATAAATATACCATAGAAATGAATAGATCATATAACAAAAATTAATTGTGTTAATTGTTGCTATTATCACACACACACACACACACGACATGAAATGTGTGCAACACATAAATTGTATGTTGTTCTAATTTATTATTAAACAAGAAGCAAAACGCTTATTTAAATTTGTTTGGTTTTTTATCAAAGAGTGGATGAATTAGTTTCCTTAGACATATTTACAGAAGCTATGGAGCTACAGACATGCCCCTAAAATATATTCCAGTACTTTTCTTTAGCATTTAAGAAATGCTGATGCATACTCTGCTATGACTTGCCTTTCAAGAAAATTCAATAGAAGACTTTATCCAATAACTGTGTAATCCGAGGCTACATCTTTAACCACTCGGTCAAAAAATCCATAAATGCAAACTTCAATCTAATATACATATATATATATTAACAGTATTGGATAAAGGAATTAAAAAATGATAAATCTCATTTCTATTAGTTCATATAATAAAATGTAATTAAAGTGCAAACTAGCAACAATAGTTCAGTAATACATTTTAAGGCGTTTTATTGATGAAGTTTCATCTTAAAAACAGGTTCATGATTGCATAAACTAAGGGCAAGTCAGACTGAAACATTTGGGTTACTAAGGACTTACAAGAAGCATCCCAATAGTGACCAAGATAGTACAAAGAGAAAACAGATGAAGACACTTTTTCTATCCACTACTGTATCTCCACCAGACGATACCATGACATGAATACTTACAGGAGGAATTAAAGCCTGAGGTTGTGCTGGTGGAACCTTATATCCGTGGATGGGCAAAGAGGCTCGACCAGCAACAAGATTGGACTGGAACAGCATTTGTGGATGGCCTCCCAGAGGGATTGTGCCATGTGGGTACGAATGCACCGCCATCAGTTCACTGAGGATGTTGGAGGGTTATCAGTAAGATTTTTTAAGTGCATTAATTCACAAACTAAAATAACTTGTCTGACTTATTAGCATTATACCACATAAGTAATGGTAATGTCTTTTCACAGCCAAAATAACATAGGATAAAAACTTATGTATTTGTGAATTTTATGTAAAGATTTACACCAAGTCTTTCACACTCTCCTGAGTGCTTTGTCAAGGTCTGAGTGTGTAGTTAGGACAAGACTTTGATTAGTCATTGAGATACAAGTGTCGTTCCAACCACATACTCAAACCTTGACAAAGCACTCAGAAGTGCACGAAAGAGGTGTAAATATTTACATAAAATTCACAAATACACAAACCCTGCCCCCACTCTGAAACCCCCAGACCCTTCAGAACTGGAAGAAGGAGGGGAGGGGGAGGACCAAGACAAACAACAGAAGGGGAAGTACAAGGGGGCGTGGACTAAAGTCAAAGCGACTAACACCCCCAAGTCCGGGCCAGGTTCTGGCTCGTGGACCCCAGTAGGCCAAGAACTTTATGCACACTGACTGATGCCAGGGTCTAATACATTCATATCAGCCTGGTTAGCTCCGGGAAGCCGAAGGGGCTCCCTCCAGAAAATAATCTGGATGGGTGCAATATTAAAATACTGTACTGTACTTCCCAGTCTAAAAGAGGTTCAACTTATATCGGACACCTGCCCTTTTGATCCCATCTGTGTTACTGTATAAGGAACTGATAGTGTATCCTATTATCCATCTGCTTCATACAATCTCAAAAACATAACTATTACTCCTTACAATTTCAGACATAACTGTGTCAATCATTCACTCACTTAAATTACATGTTAGCCCCTTACACACTAAATTGCACATCAAAGTACCTTTCCTTAAGATAATTTTGCTGTTGTTGAGCACGTTTACGTGTTGCATCTTCATTGAGAACAACTTTTAGGTCTTGAAAAAGCTGATGTTTCTGATTTTTAAGATCATTAAGATCCTGTTCCATTTGTGACAATTTCTCTCTTGTTTCTTCAAGAGTCATAGCATGCTGTTTCTTCCTGTTTTCACGTTCCTTACGAAGCCGTTCCTCTTCAGCATCAGCTTCCTGTTCTGAAGTTTACATTATATATAAACCTTCTATTGCGGTCATGGAATGTACTTAAACATTTATTACTGCACTTAAATTCTAATACACACACACACAGCATTTTAAAATATTTCCTCTAGTTGTTTAACTTCTCCAATTAATATAAAATTTCATATAGACTTTACAACTATCAAACAAGAAAAATATCTAAACTCAGTACCATATGGTATTAGAGAACCATACTTCTATGTAGTGAAATCCTGCCTGAACTCTCTAAATGATCATCATTTTACCACCAACTCCATTGTTAAAAGTAGCTATGTTTTGGCTCAAAAATTTCCCAATTTTAATCCACTCCTTAGCAAGAAACTACACAACAATTGTATAATCAAATGCATTACAGTAACATTAAATTTAATACTTACAAACATGAAGAACCACAGTGCATGTAGGAACTGGCCTTTATATTATTTGAAGGGTAGATTGTCGAGGATGGAAGGAGAGGAAGGATTATCAGCCCCTTCCTAGTGGTATGCCTCTGAACTTTCTCCAGCTTTGTCTTGGGCTTGACAAGTTAAGAACTTCATAATTGGTCTTATATATATGTGGTATACAAGGTTCCGAATAATTCCTTACACAAGTTTCTGAAGGCAGTTCTGATGTTAGCCAACCTACATATGCCGATGATATTCTTTTGATGGGGGGGGGGTTGTTCATGAGACAGGTTCGGCATGATATCAACTAGATCTTTCTCTGTCCCATCCGTTCCGTGAAAGACTTCGTCTCTAATTCGGTATCCTGTGTCTGGCCTCCTGTTCCCTCCACCTAGTTTATTATCTTACATTTACCTGGGTTGAACTTTTAGTAGCCATTTGTTGGACCATTCCTTCAGTATGTCTAGGTCATCTTGTAGCCTCTTGCTACAAGATTATGACTCCTTGGTCTTAATCCTCCTCATAATTTTTGCATCGCCAGCAATGAGAGGAACGAGTCTATTCCTTCTAGGAGATCATTTACATATACAGTGGTACCTCGGGTTATGAACGTCCCTGTTTACGAACTTTTCGGGTTACAAGCCCGATTTGTTCGGAAAATTTGAATCAGATACGAGTTTGTTGATATGCGTACGGCCGACCTAGCGTGTGGTGGCACGGTGATCGCACCTCAGTTTAACAGTTTAACAATACCTCGCACCCATTGACTATCCCGCCTGAATTCTTCACAAGAATTTAGTTTTTTGTCGGATTTTTGGCCATTTGAGCATAAAAGTTGTTATTATATATTTCACCATGGGTCCCAAGAAACCTAGTGGTAAGGTTCAAGGCAAGAAATCACACGTGAGAATGACCATAGAGGAAAAACAAGAGATCATTCGTAAGCATGAAAATGGTACTTGTGTTGTTGCACTAGCTAGGCAGTACAACAAATCCATGTCAACGATATGCATTATACTTGCCAAGAAAAAGGACATTATGAGTGCTAAAGTGGCAAAAGGCGTATCAACAATAACAAAACAAAGACCACAAATACTTGATGATGTGGAAAAGCCGTTATTATTTTGGATACACAACAAGGAGTTAGCAGGTGATAGTGATTCAGAAGCCATCATTTGTGAGAAAGCCAGGGTATTGCACGAAGACCTTGTAAAGAAAACCCCTGGAACGAGTGCAGATACAAAAGACTTTAAGGCAAGCATTGGATGGTTTGACAAATTTAGAAAAAGAAGTGGTATTCATAGTGTTGAGGCATGGGGAGGCTGCCAGCTCAGACAAACCAGCGGCTGAAAGATTTATTAAAGAATTTAAAGATTTTTTAGAAGCTGAGGGATACCTACTGCAACAAGTGTTTAATTGTGATGAGACAGGACTGTTCAGGAAAAGATTCCCTAAGAGGACATACATTAACAAGGAGGAGAAATCATTGCCCGGACACAAGCCTATGAAAGATAGGTTTACGCTTGTGCTGTGTAGAAATGCAAGTGGCGATTTGAAAATTATACCCTTGCTTATGTATCATTCTGAAAATCCAAGGGTTTTTAAAAAGTATGGTGTGCAGAAAAACCAAATGTGTGTGATGTGGAGGGCTAATAAAAAGGCATGGGTGACTAGGATTTTTTTTTACGGAGTGGGTCAATGATGTGGTGTGCCTTGCCATACAAAAATATCTGCAGGAGAAAAGTTTGCCACTCAAGGCCCTACTTCTCCTCAACAATGCTCTTACTCATCCTCCAGGCTTGGAAGATGCATTGTTGAACAGATTTAATTTTCTCATAATAAAGTTCCTTTCTCCTAACACCACTCCTCTAATTCAGCCTATGGACCAGAAAATCATAGAGAATTTTAAGAAACTTTATGAAAGGGCACTTTTCCAGAAATGTTTTGAAATGACTAAAGCCACAAACCTCACCCTCAAAGAGTTCTAGAAACATCAGAACTCTCTGATGTTTCCAGAACTCTTTGGGGCCATCTGGAGTTCAAGGTAGAACTCTTGAACTCCAAGAGTTCAAGAGTTCTACCTTGAACTCTTGATACAGAGTTGTAGAACTTGGAAAGGCTTTTAATGTATATGACTAATATTCTGTACTCACTCTTGGCTGAAATGTACATTTCTCCAGTGCCTTCCTAGCATCAGCGAAGTTTGAAAGAATCTCCGTTGAGCTGGTGCAAAATCCTACCCTCGGACAATTATAATTGTCCAATGGAATTTCAATATACAGTGTATTTATTGTTCTAGGAAACATCTAATAGCTATGCTAAAAAGTTCACAGTACAGTATCTAGGACGTGCATCACCATGCAATTCCAAGTAGGGTTGAAGGTTTACTGCATAAAATACTGTACTGAGAATCATTATAATAATATTTACCACTCAAGTTCAGAGCATATGTTATACTGTAATCACAAATATGGGCTTCAACTGTGAACTACAGTATGTCCCATATTTCAAAAGACCAAGAATTAATCTAGAAAAAATCTGTACTGACAAGATTCTACAAGGTCTTATGTTATATGCTGTATTAATAAGCATGCAAACCCATTTATAAATCTGCTGTACCTAAGGATAACTATTGTCTTAAAGAGAACAGTCTCGGACTTCATTAGGTACAGTTTTGTGCATCCAGTACGTGCAATATGTGCAATAATAAAACGTCATGAAAATGAAAGTCAAAGTTTTCTTTACAACCAACCTTCCTTTTTCCTCTTGCGGTCTCTGATAATGTGCGCTTTTAAGGACTCCCACATGGCGCGGTTCATCTTTGCTCTCTCAACCATCACTACAGGAGTGTACCTTCTGTCGCTTCCTTCACCACCACGCCCACGCTTCTCAGCTTCTGCAAACTTAACCATCTTTTCTGTGAGTGCCCTGAAATTAAATTCTCCTTTGAGCCAAGCTCGTCAAGAGAAACGTAAAGCACCCTAGATACTAACAACAAAAATAGATACCATCTACCCTTAAATGAAATATGAGCCTTACCTGTGTAAAAAGAAAAGTGTGTACCCAAGTTAGCGGTTGGGTTAGCGTGTACTCAAGGCTAAGGGCCCTGGGAAACCCCACGGAGGATCTGTGGTCGTATGGGTGTGTCCCCGGAGTCTCCCCACGTGTCCTGTGAGTTTGACAGTTACTCTGTCCCCTTGTCTCAGGGTGACATCTACTGGTTGTGCCTCCACCATGCTGCCTGTTGGGGTCATTGTTTCTTCTGACCCCGGAGTCGTGCGATGGGTGTTGTCGGTATGTGCTCTCGTTCACCTAGGCCACTGGTCATGATAATCGGGTGCAGGCGGCTGCAGTGTTGCTTGCTGGGTGTAGGTTGCTGCAACTCTCTTGGCTGTTTGTGGCCCCGGATGCCCCGAGGCTGCCCCGTTTAGGTTGTTGGGGTCTGGACTTAGGGGTGGGGGTCGCTTCGGCTCTGGCTCCTTCTGCTCCTCGTCCTTCCCCCTT